CACCCTGAGATTAAAAAAAAAAAAAAAAAAAAAATTCAGATATTCTCTTAAGTGATCATACCACGTTGAATGACTGTACTATTTCAACAATTAGGACATTGGGTGGCTTTCAGAATTCTAGAATAATGCTGTTTTATCAAAATCCTGACCAATCATGCCAGTCTCCCAGTGTATGTGCCACTTTTGCCCAGATCAGGCTGGCCTCAACCCAGCTCTCTGTGCACCCCTTATAATGAACACAGAAGATCACAAACAACTCCACTGGCCATGATCACCTTAAAATTCTAATCGAGCCCACCTGGCTTAGCTCGGTGGTTGAGTGTCGGCCACCAACCAGGAGGTCACGGTTCGACTGCGGTCAGGGCACAGGCCCGGGCTGCAAGCTCAATCCCCAGCAGGGGGCGTGCAGGAGGCAGCCAATCAATGACACTCTCATCTATTTTTCTATCTCTCTTTTTCTCTTCCTCCTCTCTCTCTAAAATAAATAAAAAACAAAAAAAAACAAAACACTAAAATTATGATTGATAATTTTAGATTGGGCCTTAAAGCTTTCAGGTAATTCTGTTACTTCTTTTTTAAAGTCAGTTTTTTCTCCCACTTTTTTAGACTGCTACTCCAAACTAATCCCTGACTCTTCAAACTTCCAACACCTCCTCTCCAAGTCTCACTCTCAGCTGATAATTCTGCTTCCTATTTCACCGGGGATGTTGAAGAATTAGAAAAGAATTTCCAAATGCTCCCACCATCCACATCTACCCACCTACCTACAGCTGTTCCCTCTTTCTTCTACAGAGCAATTTGCTCCCTCTAATCGACCATTCTAATCAGCATTAAAAGAAATAGACTATTTTTCCAAAATAAAAATAAACCCTTTGTAATCCCATTTTTCTTCCTCTGCCCTTGAAGTCTTTCACTTTACATTCAACACAATAGCTATAAGAATCCTGATAACTATAAGGCAGAATATGTTATTTCTCAATTCAAAACCCTGCAAAAGTATGTGATTCCCCATAAAGTAACTGGTAAGTCCTGAGTAAATCCTAAAAGAGCCTATTGGTATCTGTCTACTTCCCCAAGCTCATCTCCAACAACTCTTGGCATCCCTCACTATTCTCCATCCACACTGGCATTCTCACTATTCTTTCACCACACCGAGGAGGTCCACATCTAAGTGTCTCTGCACTTTTTATTCCCTTTAATATAATTTTCTTCCCCCAGATATCTGTGTAGCTGTCTCTCTCACTTCATTCCTTTCTATATTTAAAGGTTACTTGCTCAGGTCATCTGCTTCCAGTCAGGATATCAAAATTTGTATTTTAAAAAAACACACGGCTTTCAACCTAACAATTTTAAAAAGGCAGATAAGCTACAAAATCACAGGTAAAAAGAAGAAACAAAAGCAAGCAAACAAACAAAATATTAGAATGCTGAGAATATAAGAAACCTAAATGAACTAAATTCCAGAAAAGGAAAAGCTGAAAAGGGAGAGAAAAGACCCATGAATTTTTTGTACATGGTGAAGTGGTGTGGGAAAAGTATTTGCCACTGACTGGGATAAAAAGGAGTTCCAAAAATTAATAACTTGTAATGCCTACACATTGGATAGAGAGGTAGATTAAAATGTCAAGAAGCTCACAAAACAGAATGAGATTGCATTCATCTGCCAAATCTTTCTTGGTAGTCTTCATTTACTATACAGGAGTACTTTTACAAAAGCTGGGGTAATGACAGGGGAGCTGAGAGAAATCTCTTCTAGGTATTCTAGTTATTCATAAATTGTAAGGCAATTGCCTTCTGAAGACTGCTGGTCAGGAAGCAGGGTAGAGTCAGATATCGTAAGGTGCAGAAAGCCTGGAGAAGGAACGGAGACCAAAGAGAACTCTGCAGTTACCCTAAAAGCTGGCAGCCAAGTTGGAGAAAAGAGAAAGATCTCCCACAATCTGGAAAGCATAGAGACAAACCATATTCATGGATAGAAAAATTCAACATACTGAAATATTTATTCTCCGTGAATTTATCCATAGATTCAATATAATCCCTATAAAAATTCCAGCAGAATTCTTTAAAGAAATTGGCAAGGTGATTTGAATGTACTTACAAATTTTACTGCCTATGTTTTCTTCTAGAATTTTTATGGTTTCAAGTCTAACATTTAAGTCTTCAATGCATTTTCTGTTTATTCTGGTGTATGGTGTAAGAGGGTGGGCTAGTTTCATTTGCCCAATTTTCCCAACATCATTTATTGACTAGACTGTCTTGACCCCATTGTATGTTCTTGCCTTCTTTGAACACAAAGGACCTCAGATAACCAAAATCATTTGGAAGAATAAAATGAGGAATTACCTGATTTCAAGATTTACCATAAAGCTACAACATTATATTGAGCAAATAGTAGCCAGGCAAACACACATGCATGCACACACACAAAACATACACTCTACACAAATAAACACTGTACAATTTCACTAATATTAAGTCAAAGAACAGGCAAAACTAAGCTAGAGTGATAGAAATCAGTAGAGTGGTGGCTTAGGAAAATTGGGGGAAATGGTTTACTGGTATGAGACAAGAGAAACTTTATAAGGACTTGTTCTACATCTTGTTTCTGGTACTTATAATATGAGCATATGCAATTGTTAAACTTGATAACTGTCAAAAACTATATACTTTATTATTTTTAAGTTAAACCTCAATAAAAGTCAACCTCTGCTGATTTTTTTCCTTGATCAACTTATTTAAAATTTCGCTTCATGAGGTAAGATAGCTTTGTCTGTTTTGCTCATTGATACATCTGCAAGCCTACAACATTGTAGGACACATAGGGGCTCAATAAATATTTGCTGAATAAATAGATAAGCTGTAAATAAACAGAAATTCATTACAATATATTCCTTACTGTGAATCTATAATGCTATCTCTGTGTAGCCCAAGAATAGAAGCACTTGGAGGAGCCTAGGTAAAGGCCTAGTGTTTTACTTTCCATCAGCAAGTGCAGAATGGGCAGACTGCATTTTATTTCCCTGATGTAAATAGCTGCAATATTTTTAAGCATTGATATCTCTGAATGGCATCACTATTAAACATTTATCCGGCAGTGAACTTTGGTTGAAGGACATACATCAAAATTATGGGGTCAGTTAATGAAAAATAAGTCAAATTATCTCATGCTATATTGAATAAACTAACAATTATAATGAACATTTAATTGCTCAAATACTGATCTACAAATGCTAATGTGAGATTTGCCTAAGGCACCAGAGAAAATCAGTGATTAGCATTTACACCAGCTGAGATGTCTGAATGACAGAAGTGTGGGGAGGGAGACCCAGGAACTGTTTTCTTCTAAAAGTTTCCATTCGATAGATGCGAACACAAAA